GACGCAAAACCACTAATTGGAGGAGGAGCTCGGCCGAAAATCGCTTGAGCGGTTACAAAGCTCCTAATATACAGTATGTATATATATATGTGATATCTGAACAAATCGGTTGTACGATATCTGTAGGATATAGTCTGCGGACAAATAATCAAAGCATTACAAAAATACAACCGTTAACTAAGTTTCTTTCAAATAACTCAAAATCTCCAAGCATTGTATTTTAACAGACAGACAGATGTATACTAAATCAACTCAGTTCGTCATTATTACTTACATATTTCGGACCAAAGTTAATAAATATACTAATTCATATTCTTCAAAATTATACAAATATATCGGGTAATTTGAGGAAAAGCAAAACTTTTTCGCCGATTTGTTGTAATCTCGTAATACTGTTTTCTTCTCTTAAACTGAGTTATTTTTCAAAAAGAGATTTCCTCTCATTCTTTATGAGAAAGTTTAGTGCCTCACTATGGGTTCAAAAGAAAACACTTATTAATCAAATTTAGCTATCATTCCCTCGAAAAATTTTCGCAATATCAATGTTTTAGTTGTCAAAAAAATAATGCAGTTTAAATTCTCGTATTTCAACGTACACAATTAATGCACAATATTGACAATGCAAAATGGATATTGTCAGGGTAAACTTGCTAAACTATTATTGTCTGTTATCGTATCTAATCTGATCTTAACTTACTTTAGAAAACAATAAACTATTTCCAATACCATTATTAATTATTAGGATTCTAAAACTTATTGTTGGCTTTAAATTAAGCAAATTCAAAAAATAAATTTTTTTTTGTGTGCAAAAAAAATCTGTTACAACTTTTCATGGATATTTAATGGAGGTAAAAAGGTTCGAAATAAATATCTAGTGTCTTGTCTTGGTGCATGCGGTGTTACATACTGTTTGGAGTTGTGCACACCCAGGAAATCGTGATTTTATTTGTTTCAAATATTTTGTGGGACTTCTGACAGTTTTGCGCCATTTTGAACATGCTCACATTAAATGATTGCAAGTTTTCAGTGTAATTTTACTTACATATACAATACTATATAGTATATATTTTTCATATAAAAAATATAATCTCGTGGTTTTCAGTTATGGCGATAATAATATTATATTCGGCGGCCATCGTATTGGATTAGCTAACAATACAGGATTTGTCAATGCCTCCGAGTACATTTCTTAGATGAAATTAAAGCTTATAATAAAAAGTATTCAACCATTGGAGGCAGTTTAAATCACTTGAAAGGAAAATTTAAAGATATTCAGTTGGTATTCGTTGAGAGAATCGATGGTAATGAAATATTTATTATATTTCCAATAGCAACTGTACGAGCCAAGTGTGTTAGCCTTGGCCATACCAACATTTGAATTAATTTTTATTTTCTGCTGTACTAGTTACACAGAGTATATAAGGTTTGTTCAGTTAACTGTCGTGTGTTACGATTTAAATAATCAAGTTAGATATGGACATATGTAAAGGGTGATTTTTTAGCTTTTACGTTTTTGGCAACACAATATTTTATGGGGCTATCTAATCTAATTGACGCATTGGAGGAGAACATTGAAGCATTTATTCGTGAGATACCGGCCGAAATCGGACTAAGTGGATGGATCATTTGCATGAAATAATCTTCAAACATTAAATTATATGGACCGAGCAAATAAAGATTTCATGCATTTTTCGGAAAATTTTTTGTATAACTCCTAAAAAATCACCCTTTTTATACATACATATAACAAAATGCATGACATGACGAAAAAGATCGCCCGAATGGTAACTCAAGTCAGAATTGAGATATTTTTGTTGGTTCACACATTTCTTGGATTCCAAGTAAGGATGATATAGTAAATGAGTGTTCACGCATATTTTCCATACAACCGTAAATGCGAAATCTGAAACCAAAATCATATTTTTTTAGAATATATTGCATTAAATGCAAAAATAGACGTTATACAACCCCCTTTTAGGTAAAAACGTATGCCTCAGAAGCGGTAGAACTATTATAGTTCCCATGGCCCAGTATGTAGACGAACAGAATATAAGCGCAATGGGGTAACGACTGGATCGACCAAGATCGAATATATTTACATATCTAGCCATTAATCAACAGAACTACGCCAAACTTAGTAGGTATGCTAATCTTAATGATAACTAAAGTCCATACATCGAGGAATAGACTTTTCTCCAATATACGATTATCTAATGTGAGGTGCATTTCGTAGGCGGCTTAGAATAAACTTTAGGTACCTTCAGTTGTTAAAAAAAACATCATGACGGAGGAGAAGCCCGAGAAATCGTAGCGAAAAGTGTAAAATATATATAATTCATTGAAATGATTGCAGCATATTTCATTATTTAACTTGCAAAATAACGGCCAACCGTGTATACATATATTAATGAATAAAATTGCATTAAAGTATCTGAAAAAACGACATAAAATGTCTCACTCAATATGTGGGCCTTTGGTCACCAGTTATTGGACAAAAATAATACTCTGCGCCAAAATGTATTTATTTAAATATGTAAATACTATTTATTATAAATTTTATAAATAAAAACAAAATATCAGTTTTATATTTTTTTCGTGAATTTATGCTTTTTACCTTTACGCTAAAAATAATATTCTCTTATTTATTTACAACAAATAATTTATGACTTGCACACATTATTATATTAACCTTTAATTGCAATTATATTTTTAATGCAATTATTTGTTTCTTTGTGTTTATTCGACATTTACATTTATAAACATATAGTGTATTTTATTTTCAATTAATCTGCTTCTCTCGCAAATTGCAATTTTTTCATATGTACTTTTATTTTATATTTATTTGAGGCCCAATTTTTACGTATATGTGGATGAATAGCATTACTCAGTGCATACTCTTAGTCAAAATGCACTTGATTTTTAATTTAATTTAATTTGAGAGAAACTCAAGAACAAAAATATCAAATCGTTTTAATCTGTGGCTATTTTGTATTTAACTTGACAAAAGGTTATGGTGAAATATATTACATACGTAAATGATCACAATTTATGATTTTTTGTTTTCATTTTGATTTCTGGACTTTGTGCTTCTACAATAAATAGAACTAAGTACATATACAGATGTATGTGTTTTATTGCCTGGGTGCATGCTTCGCTTAAGTCAACATATCTCTTTATGTATATACAATACATAACATACATATATGTAAGTATGTATGCATATATAAATATTTTTTTACTTGAATTATGCGAACTCGTTAAAACACACACATACAAGGAAAATAAACTTGAAACGTTGTATATATGTATGTATTATATACACTTTTTAACCTAATACACTACATGCCTACTTCTGATTCTATGTTGACTTTGGCTTTGGTATATTTTTAGGTGTTGACAAAATAATCTATATGTATATATTATTTTAGTTTGAATATCATAAAAATATTCCACATTTCACATCTATTAGTACCTATCACCTATGTATATAAGTATGTGTAATTTTGTCTGTTTTCAATGTACTGTAATAGTATGTTTTTTTTTACTTTATCAATTTTACTAATTAACATCAATTATTATTTTTAACCTCAAAAGGGTTTTTTAATATTTATTAAATTATTTTTAAAAACATTTTTTAGATTTTGCACACCACTTTCAATTAAATATTGAAAATCAAACATTATTATTTATTATTAGTGAGCTTTCCCATTAGCTAAAATAAAAAATACATTATAGCCTTTAAAAATTTTAGTGAATGTGTGAATGTAAATGTGCCAATTTTAATTTTCTTCATTTAATATTGGTATACATAATATCCTTTCTTTATTTATTATAAATATTTGTAAAAGAATGCTGTCCGCGATATAGGCTCTATTCTGTTAATGCCTGTTCCAAATTTTTAAAATATAATATTTTTTAATATTCAAATGACTTTATACATACATATACAACCGCTCAAGCGGTTAAACTGAGTTCTTCAAAATAATTAATTAAAGTAACTTTCCGTTGAAACTGTGCGATCGCTATTTGAATTTTATTGGATTTAAAAAAATTCTTCACATAATTTTCAGCGTTAAATTTTTAGCCGATTTTTATAAAATTAATTTCGTTGTTATTCATAAACAAACTTTTAACATGCAGAAATATATTTTATAAATACATACATACATATTGCCTCCTTATGTGAATATTCTAATTCCAAAACTACTCAACAAACCAGACAATATTCAATTCAATTAAACTTGCAAAAAATGTGGATTTGTTACAAAAAAAAGAAAATATTGAGTTCAAGAAACTTAAGCGCGTACATTTAAATTCCTTTAAATTCTTGAATATAGAGTTTTCCAAAGTAACACATTTTAGTTTCGTATGTTGCGAAATTATGATACAAAAAAAAGGTACTTTTTTTTACTCAATACAAAAATTGACCTTAAGTTTATTTTATATTTATTTTGTTTCAAATATTTGAGGATTGACGTTTTATGACAAATTTCGCTTTTATTTTTTCTGCCAATATTATGTTATTAAAAAGAACTTTCAAAAAGACATTTGGGTTAGAACGTTTATGAAAAATTGACTGATCATGAATAACAACTCAGTAATGAAATAAAAAGGAATTAAACACAAAAATTGCGATCTCGCTTAAAATCCAAAATCAATATTACATACATTACTGAAACTCTGGTTTGCCTTTAGTTTGTTTTATTTTTTAGCTCAAAATTCTATTCATCAGGATTGCACAATTTGTTAGGAAAATAAAATTTGTGTAGTTTCCGGTTTCTAGATCGATTCTGCAATTTTTATTTAATAAATCCTTTTTTTTTTAAGTGTATGTATGTGGTACGGTTCTATCTTAAGAGTGAAGATTTTTTTGATATAAAAGCAAAAATATTTTAACTTCATATACTTTCGTATATATGTGTTTTAGTGTTTTAATCTATGTATAGGTATGTATATGCATTTAGAAAGTGTTTTTCTTTAATTTACATAGGTTGATTTTATTATTAAATTAAATATTTTGAGTTTTCATTTAATTTCCCCATATTTTTGCATTCATGTATATCTTGTAAGAGTACGTATATTATATATATATTTTTATCATTATTACAGTATATATATATAGTATAATATATAATCAATAACTTATTCAAAGTTGAGGTCACATGAGTTGGTTTTGTTTAGTTTATTTATTTACCCATTTATTTAATGAACTTATGTAATTATTGCTCCAGCTAATAACACCGTTTACACTTTTTATATGCCTGCCATTAAAAATATATATTCATATATTACAAATCATCATAATACGCAATTAAATAAAATAATAACAATTCTTCTTCAAGATTTAACTAAGTAAATTTACAGCTTTGCAAAAATTGTACAAAATATTTTCAAATACACGTATGTATCATCCGCTTTACTTTTTCAATTTTATTTCCAATTTATGTATGTATATATACGTATGTATATTCAATGCTAAATTACACCTCTATTTGCAATTGAATAAATAATTCATAGTTAGTGTGAAAACTTATCCAACTTTAGACTACAAAATTTGTCATAAATAGTAAATATGTAACGCCCAATGGAATAAACGAATAATATTACACGTCATCCCTAGCCCTGGACTCGTTTACCGACAAAATTCCATCAGCATCGTATTGCAGGTGTATAATTTCACTAATCCGCATTCTATATGGACCAAAATAGCAAAACAAACATAAGCTGCGATACGCCAAAGTTCATATTGGGATTCTCCATATTTTATTGTGGTGTTTGATGAAGTGCAACTCCTAGTTTGACTTGTTATCAGCGCCTTATTGGGGACTATTAGGCGGTGTGATTTCATCGCCTTCACCACCAGAACCCGGTTCACCTTTTGTTTTGTTTTCTTTTTTCCACTTCATTCGTCGGTTTTGGAACCAGATTTTTATTTGTCGCTCTGTGAGGCAAAGTGCATGGGCAATCTCGATCCGTCGCCGCCTGGTGAGATACCGATTGAAATGAAACTCTTTCTCCAGCTCTAGCGTTTGGTAACGAGTGTATGTTTGCCGGCCACGTTTGCGTTCTGTTGACGAAAAGGAAAATATATAATTATTTTTTTTTAACTTTATAGGAAAAAATGTATGTATAAAACTAAAAGATACTACTTTCGCATCAAAAGACAACGATTAAACCAGAACTCTATATTGCTAGGGAGTATAATAGGTATAGGCATGTGAATCGGAACGTGGCAAACGAAACAAAATTATTATTTATTTTATTTTATTTTTTATTTTCTTTGCTGGAAAACAACTCTTGAGCTCAACATACATATAAATATATAGTATGAACGATTATATTCCACGCATCGAAAGGGGATTTAAAAGCATCAAAAGGTGACCTTACCAAATTAGACTATTTGTAAGTGTCAGTGTATCACCATGGAGTAAACTCACTTTTTCCAATGGCACGTTTTTTTTGCCGCATGTGATTACTGTAAAGTCACATTACATACATCTTGAAATATGTATGGTGTTGTGTTTGTCTGAGTTTATCCCTTATGCGTGTATTTGACCAGTTGCTCAGAATTCTCGATATGGATTTTAAATCTCATATGATTTTAGCTAGTCGATTTCAATGGGTACATGCCAGTAGTATATATATATATATGTAATAGTACATATATTCGTACACATGTGTATGTATATTAATACTATTGGCTGTGGTTGTAGGCAACATGCTTTAGCAGAGGCGGATGACACTGGCGACTATGAGGTAAATAATTATGCGCGGCAAAATGAATACATTTCTTTTTTTTTCCTTTTTCGATACCAACAGCGGTATGCATATGTATGTATGTATACACCTTAGAATGCCAGAAAATCAAAGCCATTAAAAAGGCAACAAAACGATGCATGCTCGTTGCCGAGAGTCTGTGTCGCTATTCAAGAAACGAATGCACTTTGCTCAAACCACAGACAAGTGTGATCAATCAAGATTGGATGCGTTTAGTGCTCGGCAACTGAGCACCCTTCCGTCCTTTTTCCTCTCGCTTTGAAGGGGCGTTAAGAGTAGTAATGTAAATGTGACTACAGGAAGAAGGCTACAAATACAAATGTGCGTAGTTGGACATTTCTAAAATTAAAACAATTCGGAAACTTTGTATTTGCACAAATATGTGGGTACATCCAAATAGAAGCGAAATTATAATTGAAAAAATTGATAACAACAACGAAAAAATAATGCCAAAATTAAATTAAACAAACAAAAAATTAAATTAAATAAAGGAAAGTAACTTAAATAAAAACTTAAAGAAAAATAATATGAGAAATTGAAATAAAATAAAAGAAAATGAAATTAACTAAAAACTTAATGGAATGATATAAAAAATTCAAATAAAATAAAAAGAAAAAAGTAAAATAAAATAAAAGGAAAGAAAATTAAATAAAAATTTAATAAGTGAAACTAGAAATTAAAATGAAATTAATAATATTAAATTAAAATCATGTAAAAGAAAAGTAACTTAAATAAAAACTAAATGAAATTAAATGAGAAATTAAAATAAAATAATAAGAAATAAAGTAAAATAAAATAAAAGAAAAGAAAACTAAGTAAAAACTTAAGAAAATGAAATTAGATATTAAAATGAAATTAAAAGAAATAAATTAAAATGAAATGATGTGAAGGACATAAAAAAAATAAAATAAAATAACAAAAAATAAAATAATATGAATAAAAATACACCAAAACAAAATTAAGTAAAATAAAATAAATAAAATAAAATTAAATAAAACTAAGTAAAATAAAACAATTTTAATCAAAATAAAACAAAAGAAAACAATTGAAATAATAAGTAAAAATAAAATAAAACCAATTTAAAAAATAAAATGAAATAAAATTTAAAGCGGATTTCGTGTAATCTACACTAGACAACAATCATTTTGCCACCAAAACTTAAAAGTTAAGGAAAAATAAATGACAGATTTATGAGACATATATTTTTACATATGTACTTATGTATATAAAATAAAAAATTGATTGTAATATTTTGACGGTATGTTGCCCACTTGTATGAAGTGTAATTATATACAATATTTTAATTGTTTCCTTCAAGACGGCAACACACGCAAATAAAAAGTACAAGCATTAGCCAACGCAAACCGAGTCGGCAACATAACAAACGACGAATCCATCATTAGCAATACATAGTAACGGTTTGACTTAACAACAGCAACAACAACAATAACTGACAAGTAATAATATTGAAATATTCAAGTAAAATGGTGGCTTAATCGCAATTTAATTACAATATGTTTACTTTCATATCAAAAAATTGCCCATTACCCCAAATGTCTGCGTGAGGTGCGTGCGTGCACATACACACATATTATATATAGCTATGTATTTTTACCTTGGCTCTTTCACTAGTTGTTTATTAAATTTTTTTTCTTTTCTTTCGTTTGTTGCTGAGTGGTTACAAAGTAATTTTTATTATGGTGAAGTATTCTGCCTTTCGGTGACTGAAGTAACTGACTTGGTCGTTTTGTTGCTTAGCCCATAGTCCAAAGCAGCTGAGGTGCTGCCTCATTGAGCTATGGTAATTGTTGTTGTATGTGAGGCACTAATGCGTTTTTAATAATTTTCCAATGCAATAGTATATGAAACCGCATATGGTTATTGCCACCCAGTCACAACCAACAACCAGTCATTGCAACCACTACTGCTGCCACTGCCATCATCCTCTAGCGGTTTTATCGCATTTATCATTTCGCCGCCAAAAGGCGCGAAAGAGCAAAGTAGAGCGGCAGCGGTCGACGTTCAACATTGGCGCCACCACGATCAATTCCTTTTGAAGAAATGTCAGAATGGTGGTGTTAACGAATAATGAAGAAACAAAGAATCGGCCATGCGCATGAGCCAAATGGTGGCCGGCCATCATTGCATTCGACGTTATTCAAAATATATTTCTTTTACAACTATACGGTGGTAAGTGGCAAATGGGAGAATGAAATATGTTATATAAACAATGGCAGTAGATATTATAGACTTTGGCTTTAAATATTGATATGGTTGTAGCTGCTCGGAGAGATTTTTGTGAGAAATTTAAGTTACATTCCAGTTTCAGCCTCAAACTCTAAAAATATGTAATCAGCAGAATTTAACAAATAATTAAACCTACTTAAAATGGTTATATTTTTAAGTTCAGTATGGTTTTTAAATTGAAATATCTTTATAGATATTTTTCGCAGTATTGATCCCGAATACGGCGAGGGAAGGGTAAAAACATAGATATTAAGTCGTAAAAACCGAATTTTATACGTAAGTACAAAAATTATTCCAAACCCCTCTCGCTTCGTTGATCTCACAAGATTTCAATTGTGATTGCCAAATAAATTAGTCTTCAGTGATATCTTTTCTTTTTTGTTCACAATTTTCTTAATAATTTTCGCTTTTTTAGTTTCTCTGTCAACGAAGCGCTTTTAAAGTTTACTCGTGTATAACGGTTAGTAGAAAGTTACAGGTCATGCATGTAGTCGCCTTAATTTTCTTTACCATTTTACTAAATGTCATTACAATTAAAGGGTGATTTTTTAAGTACTATAGGAAAGTTTTCCAACGCGTCAATTGAAGTGCGTTTGTCTGCATAGACATTATATTTAAGACAGCTCCCCCCCAAAAAAAAATACTCTAAAGGCGTTAAAACGCGGCCAATTGAGTGGTACCGAACGTTAAATAAAATGTTCATCGAACTCGCCTCTCAATAAGCCCATTATTACGCTTACTATGTGGCATGTTGCACGTCTTATTAAAACCAGATGTCGTGCAAGTCAAGCTCTTGCATTTTTGGCAAAACAAAAAGTTTGATATCATCTCACGGTTACGTTACGATTCCCATCATTTTTGAATACGTAGGGTCCAATGATGCCACCAGCTCATAAACTGAACCAAACTGTGACTTTTTCTGGATGGATTGGTAACTCTTGCAATGCATCTGGCTGATCTTCATTCCAAAATCGACAATTCTGTTTAAACCAGTGTTGCCAAAAAGATAATAGTTAAAAAGTCACCCTTTGTAATGCTTCAAATAATATTTGACATATTTTTAGTGCTTGCCGTCATTATCTATGGCCCAAAAAATAATAATACCCTTTTGGTAATTTAGGTAATTGGATTTAATTTCTTTATGCATTTAGATTTTAGTTAGAAGGGGGTTTTTAGATATGAAAACTTTTGGTGTGGAATAGTATGAGAAAGTCAATTGTATTTCGCATACTTTCATATATGACTTAAACTATATTCGTTTACCCATGTTCATAAGTATGTATTTATATTATGTATACAATTGGCACTTTTTAACCGCAGAAACGATTTTTGGCCGAACTTCTTCTCCAATTTGTGGTGTGCGTTTTGATGTTTTTCCAAGAAATGATGGAAAGTACAGTTTATTTCAAGCTGCTTCCAAACGGCTGATGGATTTTTATGAATAGCTTTTTATTTAATGTAGAAATACTATGGGAGAGCTTTATATGTCCTAACGAGGAGCGGCAGTAGTTGGACAAATTATTTTCTAGAATTTTGGATTTTGGTTGAGCCAGAACTCGATACCTGGCCTTACAAATGATGGTATGCAATGCTCTATTCAAAAGAAATCATATATATGTACATTACAATGAAGTTTAAAAGAAATATATGGTATATATCATATAGTAGAAATATATCATATGGTGTATATATATTTATGCATATTTTATATATATTGTAGATATATACATATATATATATATACATATATATATATATCTTTAAAAAGATTTCACTAATGGTGAAACTGTAAATACTCCACTGCATTATTCGGTAATTAAATTTTTTCTAACATACAAAGCAATTAAGTGTAATTTTATAATATTTTGATTTCGTTTAATTACTGCATTCATGCATAAAATCAAAAAACAACACATTCACAAATAAAAGCTTGATTCGATTTTAATTGCTCGGCTCACACTAATTTTTACGTACACGTTCATATATGTATGTGTGTACTATATATTCATGTATTTACGCGCATATGCTTACACAACTATTAAC